TTTTGTTTCCTTATACAAAAGATTGGTAGAGTAGTTTCTGTTTTTCTTCAGAACTATTTTTAAAATTATCTGTTGTGCAATGTGAAGTTTTTATTGTTGAATTGAAAATGCCTCCCCAAGAGAGAATGCAGTATCTTATAACCGATTCTACCGATAGGCCGAGATCGCATATGCTGGACATGCTGATAGCAAGTGCATTAGGGTCTCGGGCGCCTCGCGGCAGGCCCTGCACCTTGTGTCAGGAACCTCTATATCCATCACGCGACTTCGGTAGACTAAGGTGTTGAAGACACCATCCTGGCAAGCCATGATGAACCCCTCAGTTTCCGACTTCAGCCCACTCGACCTGAGGAAAGCAAAAGTCAGGCGCTTTGATTATTATTATTATGGCATTATTATTAATGATGGCAAGGCAATACTGATGGATTAATATCTATGGAAAGGGGTCCTTATATAAATGGAGACTTTTTTTTCAAGTCATTCAACAAATGTGCCTCCTAGATTCTTTTTTTGTAGAAAAACTCTGCCGTTACAAAAATAATTTTTTTTCTTTTCTCACCATCAGTTGCCAACCTGTATTTATGGACAGTGGACATGCGCGTTTTCGATTTTAGTTCTAATCAAAATGCTAAGATGACATTGGGGAATTTTGACAATCATAATATCAATATAAAATGTGAGAAAAAGAAGTAAATCGATAATGCTTTCAAGAAAACATAAATTATTGACCTTTTTCTTGAGACTAAAATTACGACAGAGGCAAAGAATGTGATGTCTGAATTAGCCCGTACTATAATTTGAAAAGATTCAATAGTGTCTCGCCCAGTTTTTCCGCCATCCCACGCACCGTTTGTTAAAGAGCAGTCTCCACCAAGGTCCTCTAATCCTCGTCCTGGATTACTGTAGGTCGACCACTTCATCAATACAGTCATTGACAAATGATTGGGTAATTTTTCGGGCTGTTTCGGCAGCGCAATGTACTCGTACAGCATCAATATGTGAAATACAATATTCTTTATAGATCACTATAAACCACGACACAGTAGAATAAATGTTTGTTGAGATATGGAGCTACAAAAACACCCGACATTCATCCGCCCTAAAAATATCTCCTTTTAAATTTAAAAGAGACATTTTTGACCTTTCAACTTATCACTGTATTTGAGACCTGGATGTATTTGTCTATGGGAATTATCGAAATATCATCTTTCGTTTATTTTGACTGGACTAGAATCGTCGTCCCGATGAAATAAATCGGCACGCGCCTTTCGGCGGTGAGGGAGGGGAGGGGGAGGGATCGAGATGGAGCGCGGAGCTTTTCGGTAATTTAATACTTCAGTTAATTACGACCGTACATGTCGGGTAATTAAAAAATATTATACGGTTATCCGGTAAAACGCTGCGCTGCGTGTTGCGCGACCACTTGATATGCGATATGTTTTAGCTTTATTATTTATGAATGGATGAGACGATTTAGCATCGGATTTCACACGGTTACTCGCTAGCAAATATTTAAGAATAATTACGCATATAAACGTTTCGCGTGAGGTAGGAACAAGATTGAAGGCGATTAATTTCAATATAGTTGGGGCAATGAAAGAATACACGTGCGTCATCGATTTGCGCATCCGATATAATCAAGTCGACACAGTAATGAAAATGAAATATGTTGCTCCAAAAAAGTCAACCTTTTATTAAAGAATTGCTTTCATTTTTGAAATTCTCTAGGGTTCCTCATTATGAAGCCCAACATTCGACTACCGGATGAAAGAGTTTGGCCAATATGTGAAACAAAAGTGAATTTTTGATCAAAACTATGCCAAGATCTTTCATTTCATCAACTCGACTTATGGTTGAATAACTTTTTTCAAGATCAATTGCCCTAAAACCAAACTGATATGTTTGCACTCGACGCGCGTTTCGCCAACAAAGTTGGCGAAGAAAATTGATACCTAGTCTAGTCTGGTTAATCCTTATATACTAAAATTTGTTACCTGAGGTTGTATACCTGAAGTCCAATATGGAATTTCTCGGTAATTAACTACCTGCAAGTTCTTAGTAATTATTCTCTTCCTACCAGAAGAATAAAAAGCGGGCTAAACGGGATGGGTCCCTCATCGCCATTCATGCTGTTCTAACATTTTGCTATTTCTAGACTCTCACATGCATCGAGTAGCCTGGTGTCATGCACATGCTTAATCAGTTTCAGATTGTTTTCACCAATTCTGTGGCGACACTGGATTTTTCTATCCTTCCGTATTTCATGTTTGCACAATGCTCTTTGAAGCGGGTTTTAATCGTTCGTCGGCTCTGGCGATGTATTTGCTGTTGCAATCTTGACAACTGATTTCGTAAATCCCCGAACTTTCTGTGTTTTCTAGTCTATCTTTTGGATTACCAAGAAGCTGTTGCAATTTATAAGAAGTTTTATATGCAACTTTCATATTTACTTTATCGAATATTTGTTGAAGCCCTCTCGTGTATTGGGGTTCATATGGGATTACTATAAACTTGTTATTACTCTCCTCTTTTTGAAAGGTCGAAGATTGACGAAGTGCTTCCCTAAACTTGCATTTTCTAATTACCAACCAAACCAACCAAAGGTTCCAATTTCATCGTTATTCGACTTATGGTATTGTTATCTATTTCACAATTCACTTATGAAACAGTGTTTGTAGCTGTTCCACCAAAAAGAATCCGAAGTTATGTGACAATGGATTCAAAGTTTCCAGTAACTTCAAACAACAAACACACTAAATTAATATTATAAACAATAATACGATTAGATTTTCTGTTTGTATTGGAATAAGATTCTGTGGTCCTTTTATTCACTGAATGAAACGTCTATTTAGCAGATCAAAGACCCTAGACAAAAGACAGCCATCGACCTTGGGAGAAAAAGGTTTCTCGCCACCTCATAATATATACTTTCTCATACATTCTCGTAGGTATAATCGATTTTGAATATTTTACGATGCGGCAAGCGCTCGGGATCCGGGCTGCGATGAGATGATTCTGTTTGAACTGTTCATGAATATTTCCTCAATGACTCACAGATTGACTGATCGCTTATCACTTTATAAACAAATCATTATTATCGATAAATGTCGTTACAAAATGATCAGTGATTACTTGTTCTACCTGGATGAAGTCTCAACACACCCACAAAATGAGGTTTTCAAAAGTATCGCTACTTGAAGAATAATGAATACTTCTTGTATGAAGATGGAAAAGTAGAACTTCTCATATATACAATCAGTAGGCATACTTGAAGACTGGCTACAAATCAAATCATCTATAAGAACAATTTGTTAACTCCCTACACTGTAGCTTAATGGACTGACACCTATCAGAAAACAACTGCTACCCTGGCTAATACCACAAAAGGCGTTGGATTACATCCGACCGGTGTCAGTGCAGGATTCTTCACTGAAGTTATTCCTGCATTTTGATGATAGACACTACCTTGCACTGACGAGTGACCAAACAGCCCGAAACCGGTCTGCATGTGTGTTCCAATAATTGAAAATCTATAGCGGCAGTTGTATCGCCAAGTAGAAAAGTAGAAAGTCAAAACCTTTTTCAGATGCCGTCTAACATCGATAAGGGGATAATAATAATTTTCATTGCACTTCCAGAATAAAGTTCATAATGAATGAATTCATGAGCTCAGAAGCTGTAATTGATTGCAGCAAATACTGCAGAGAAGCAGCTCCGTGTCTCAATAAAATCTGTACTGGAAAAATGTTGATTAATGAACTGAAAAGTATCAGAAAAGGTGAAATGAGATGTGAAGGTAAATGAATAAGTGGAATTCTATAAGTTTGTATTATGAACAAAGAAGGTTGAAATTTTCGGAACTTTGGATGGCTATAATCCTGAAAATAATGAAAAACACCCTTTTTCCGGATTCGTACTCTACACATCAACTATTCAATATTACTGTAGTTTTTTCCCAACACCAAACCGTTATTTCAGCACCTCGACACGTGTTTCGATCACCAAGTGATCATCTTCCTTTTGAAGAGGATCACTTGATTATCGAAACACGTGTCGAGATGTTAAAATAATGGTTTGGTGTTGGGAAAAAACTCCAGTATTATTCATTATTGCACCAAGGGTTCCAAACAGTGCATCATGAGTACATCAACTATTATTCAGTACTTCCCAAAATTCAGAAAACATTGAGCCTCATGGGTTCATAATGTTTCACTTCCATCTTTTCTAAGTGATACTACTAACAGTTTTGTTTCCTGTACTAGTCTGTACAGGTCCTTAGCTGGCTGTTTAGCATATTTTTTCAGACATAATTTGAATTGCCCATAAATAACTGTCCTCCAGTGATCCAAAACGCATAAAACATAATGAGATTTCTCTCTGGACAATGTCCTGTATAGAGACAATTTATTCCGTTCTTCACGGCATATCCCAGGCCGATTGCAACCTTTATAAGAATATTGATCCGTTCATTTCGTTGAGGTCGTTGCATAGTTTATACTGTTTTTTTATTGTCATTCTAGAATTGCATACTCGTGGTAGAAGTAACAGCAGGTTTGCATTTGCCACATGAACAAAATATACGATCAAATGGTCGTAGTTTCTAATGGTATTTTCGTTAAATTTGTACTAGCATTTTAATATTATACCGTTGTGGAATGGTTATGCAGGAGAAACGTCATGCTCATTATTTAAAAATCTGTTTAAAATCTGTTTTTCCGTTAACCAGCTGTCGCACCCCTACGAACGACAACTCTCAGAAGTCGAAACTTGTGCGAGCTAAGGATTAACGAGGTCTTATCTTTTAACGTGTGATTCCTAACACGGGTTAGACGATAGCAAGTGAAGATCGACCGTTCAGACTAGGGCTTGAACCACCGACCAACACGGCAGTCAATTCGAGTGAGTGAACAAAGCACCCATGCCGAACCGCTTGGTAGCAGTATAAATCAAATCATCTGACTGAACAAAAAATGGAAAATAATATAATACGGTATACTTACTTTTTATTGCAGATGATTCTGTAGGCGTTTCGTTTAACTGTAAAAAAAACATAAATTTTTGAGTTTCCATATTAACATTCCAATCTATTTGCGATAATTATTGAAAATTAGAGTGATTAAATAATAAATGTTGAATTGATTACGATAGATTGATGACATGAGTCTTGTGAAAGCGTGGAAAATTTGGGCGCAGCTGCAGCTTTGAAAATAGGAAATTATAAAAAATTTGAAATATTCAACAAAACTACCTTTGAAATAATGTGGATTGTGTAAGGTTATGTCACCATAAAACAGTCAAAAACTCATTAAAATTATTTAGAATGAACGAGAGAATGAGAATATCCACATCATAATTGGAACTTGTGAAACTTTGACGGATATTTAAAAGAAACCCGAACCAACAAGTTCGTACATGGAGAAGCTTTTTTTGCCTTGGATTAGATTTTTTGTAACAAGAGACAGTTTTTCAATTTCATTGAAATGTATTTTTTTACTTATGAAAAACAGAAAAAACATTTTATTTCTGATATTTTATATATTGTGTTGATTCGAAAAAATTATTATGATTGAGTACAATTTGCTGGAAATATTTTCAGAGATTCAATGCTAAATTTCTCTCGAGTTCAACTTACTGATATTTTCATTATAGACCCCCATCCAAAGATAAAAAAAAACTCTAATATGTATTTTTTCTCACTTCTCCTTCACGTTAATCGTGTTTTTGGTCCCAGAACATTCAACGAGTTTTCAAATTTATGATTGAACATTTTTAGAAAATTACGAAATGATGATCTCAGTTTCATTCATCCCCAATTCACAATTTTATCAAATCTGACACAATTTTGTCCGTTTCATATTCTATTCATCCTCTCAATAATGATCTTATCCCGTCTCACATTCAGTATTACTATCAATAGCACAAATTAAAGACTTGATGCTTTGTAACAGCAAAAAATATTTCAATCACCTCTCCCTTTCAATCAGAAAGTTGACCTGCTATACACAGTTTTGAAAAGGAGTTAGAAACTTCTGCTAGATAGATAAATCTTACTATAATACTGAGGAATTTCTTTCTGACGACTGTCAAATTTCAGATTGTTCTAGTTCTCGAGTCTGCTTTGTCAACAAAACCAAAACTTTCATGACAAGAAAGCATGACTCTAACTCTCAGTTTTTTTTTCGCTGAAAGCTGTTCATGGAAACGATAGACTAATTTTCTCTGTTTGGTGGAATTCGAGTTCGTTTTTGTTTCTGAAATCTAAACTAGTCGCAAGCGACTCCGTTTGGTGTAAATCCGTCTTAACAGATTCAACTACGGAAAAACTGAATTGTGCTGTCAATAATAATATCATCAGATCTCTTGATCGTTTCATCAAGTTCAAAATGAGCACAACAAATGTGGGAAAACAAGTTCAAGGTTAACCATATCTCCGATTTGAATAAAAAGATGAAACTTTCAAAATGTTGACCCACCTCAAAGCCTGGCAGAATTCAATACAGTACGACAAATCGTGTGAAGTAATGGTTGCCGTATCGAGTAGTGTATTATCGCAAGTAGAATGTTGATTTGTGGAATACTGCGCGGGTCATTTTCCTGAAGGTCATATTATCACCCAACAGCAAAACAATATTACGTTGAGGTTTACATATGTAAAAGATTTATTTCGAACGTCGACTAAAACGGTATAACTACGTTATATTTACCTTGGCAAGACATGGATTGGACGTGTATTTGTTATCCAAATCTATCCGTGGGGTAGCGGCCATCGCCGTCAGAGGTGTTGTTGGAAAAATCATTTCCTGAAATTAAAAACACACTGAACAATTTGTAATCCCGAGAAATCATCTAGATATAATAAACGTCGGCATATGTTTTCTGTTAAAACTAAAAGTAACAACATTGTTTGCAAACAACTTTTGTACTGAAAGGACAATCAAGGTCGATGATAATTAATTAATCCATAATTCCAATCGGCTGCGATTTTATGATGCCCACATCGGATTTTAATATTCTCGAATGTGGAATTTATAATAAGATATCTTCACAAAAGTATCATCATTTTCTTCAACAAAAAAAAAATATGAATTGATTATTTTGAATTAATGAAAGTAACTAGGGAGTATCAAACATCACTCAGCTTAACCATTCCTGTTATTGAATGAAACAAATTTGTGTATTGTGATAACTAAATGAAATATTCAAGCCCGAGTTATTATTTTATATTTATCTGGTTACGAAAGATCAATCAATCAATCAGTCAATTAATTCACCATACTCGTACATACTAAAACAAATTAAAGAATTAACTGTGTTAAACAAATTCATTTCCAACAATATTTCAATAATCACAAACTAATTTATTTATTACAACATTTAGCAACTAACGCTTAATGTATTTCCACTATTTGAATTTCTTGTTTAGCTGCTCTATTCAGTTTCTGAACTGCCCTCTTGGGTCGGGAAGGCGTGCTTATATAGTGTAACGGTCCTTTCTAGAAATCTGTAGTCGGTTCGGTACTCGACTAGAGTTTTACCGGCGGTTGCCAACTACATTCTTTCGCGGTGATGTCATGTGTTTGTTGTTACATGATTCGGCAGGCGTACATAAAACAGAACACCCAAAAAAAGTTACCCTTAAGCATACGGTATTTAGAGCGTCAGCTTTCTCGATCAGCTTCATTTTGCGGTCATCCAAAATTATTTGGTGGAGTTTTTTTTATGTTTCCGCCGATAACAGCGTCCACTGCGTGCCTCGTATTCGGTGCTCATTTTTTACCTCGTTTAAACTCAGCAAACGTCTTATCAACAGTTGATTTTCCTGGTGCATAGTCCGAATAATGTTCATCAAGCCAAGCTCTGGATTCAACAGTATTTTTTTTCCACAAAAAACAATGCTTTATCAACACACGAAACTCCTGTTTATCCATTTTCTTGAAACTAATAAAAGTTGCTTCACTCAAAATGTTCTATCCCACAAACTAATAGTCCGTAAGCTGTGTGATAATGCAACGAAAGATACATGAAAAAAAAAATGGAATAAGTTTTTACTAGGATTTATAGATAACAGAGCTATCACACCGCCGGGTCAATAGACAAGGTACAGTCTATATAATATGCTCAATGGGTATTTTGTTATTAATTTTGTTAGGTTGATTATATTATTTTCTGTCAATAAGTTGTTAAAACTTTTTTTTCTGGATGTAGCAAGCAACCATTTCATTGTTTTTAACAAGCTCATGAATGGTTTGTAATTCTTCCGGGATAATAGCGTAAAGGACTGTTTAGATGGGTACTATTCCGATAAAGCACAATTCGATATCAATTTGAACGCCACCAGTAGACAGCTATCACAGTTTGTTGGGCTTCGTCAGTACCGGGCTAACGGTCCTCGATTGAAAATGAATTGTGGAAAACCAAGACGAGTAGTTAATCAGAACCCACTGTGTCTAGAATAGCTTCTCAATTCCAGCTAACGCAGTTATTGGTTTTGAAGATTTGTCAAACCACATAAGAAAAAACAAAGATCGAAAACTAGATTATTTTATTATCAGTTTCTGGCAGAGATGTTTGCACGATATTATTCCAATTGAGTTGTTCATCATTCTTCTCTCTATTAATCTCTTCATCATTTACTACTGATTTGTTTCACACACTATATTATATTATATAAGTCTTACATATTTCAGTTTTTTTGTATTTTGTTTAATAGTAACTGATATATTTGTATAATATTTATGTATATTGGGATATCTATTTCAAATAAATCTATTTCTATTGAATTGATCATAATTGACGATATCAAAAGAGACTGACGTAAAAATATTGGATGAGTTGAAAAACCATGATCCTCACCGCCAGTGACCACAGAAGGGGGAATTAATTGAAAAATGGCCCAAGAAGAAAACGCAAATTCATTTCCAAATTTATTTATCAACAAAACAAACGTGAATGACATGAATGCACATGAACACGATCATAAATAAAGCAGTACGGAATGAAAAAAAAAACCTTCTGAAAGAAAACGGTACGAATTTGACCAAGTTTATGAACAGCGGAAGAAACAGTCTTATAGAGTAGAAGATTATGCTAGAACCATTTTCAATGAAATTATGTTTTGCTCAATAACTGTCCATTGATGTAACATTATAAACATAAAGTTTTAGAGTACAAAAGGATGAAAATAATAATATAACAGTTCCAATAATGGAAAAGAAAGGTTTTGGCTCTCTACTGTCTATCTGTATACAAAATCAATGTGAAAATTTTCTGAAAAAATGAAGAAAGCTATCAATTGAAAAAAATCAACTCTATACAAAGATGGGTAGATCATGCAAAGAAGTTTCAGAGACAAACTGGAAGAAAAAACCTTCTCGAAACAGCTACTTACATATAAACGTTGAATGACATTTTCGAAAGTACTGTTTCTTTTGTGTAATTCAATATTTATATGAAAATAGTAGTTTCAAGGGGGCCTTTTCTTCCAGTTTGTGTCTTAAAGTAACTTCGTTGCATGATCTACATCTTATTTCGAAATTGTTTGCTTCCATTATATTTCTGAATGAATATGCTACTATTGCCATAAACCCCTAGAGAAAAAAAAATGGAGACGCCTTTGAGAAAGTGACAACGCCAATTACCTAATAATACAGCCATTGTATAAACAAATTAGGCAACATTAACTCATAAGCATTCAAATCACTCCTCGATTTCATAAAAGATTCACGATATAGAGACGTTTCATGTGGTATAATGATTTTGACAAGCAAACTTTCCACTCAAACGAAAACGATAACAAAATACCAATCAACATTTTGTATTTTTATTATTAACCCGTTTTATGGTCGGTTATTTTTACAAAGCCATTTTCCACTTTATGGTTACTATCGAGTGATTTTATAAGCATGGCTCGAGCTGTGAAATGTGGAGTTAACATTCGGGTGTGCATCGTATACAGGTAGCGACAGCTATCGGTAGAGACAGAAATCGGCAGTTTGTTTTCAACTTGAAATCACCGACGTGTTTTACCTGTAGCGTGAAATTTGTTCAGCCTTTTTTTTACAACGATATATTAAAACGGTAAGGGTGAGAGGTGTTCATGAGTCGAGCTTTCATTTATTGCCTCTTTGATGTTTTATAAGCCGGATAAATTTATGGCATGTACTGAAATAGTTCTTCGGGATTTTAGTGTCTGCAAAAGTTTTTTTCTACCATAAATATTGATTATAGAGGTTGAAGGATAATCTCATTTTTACAATTTGAGACCAAAATATGTCTAGCCACCAATAAAATAACTAGTAATAGAAAATTAGCTGTTTATTGTGTTGAAAAACTTGAGAATAGCGATGATTTACATAAAATCTGTATGAAATGAAGGTGATATGTGACACATGGTTGAAGATTTGAAAAGTCATGTGTCAAAAATAAATTTGTTGATGATCGTAAAAGCATTTTTTGAAGAGGGCACGTTTTTCTATAAGTTTTCTAAGTTTCTATTATTTGACAGTCTGAAAAAATAGCACGATTAAAAGATAATTTGACGTTCATGAGTTCAATAAATTTTAGCTATGAATTTTTTTCTGAATAACATATCAATCAATCAATCAATCAAATATACTTTATTGTCTGAAGAACTACATCTTGTAGACAAAGTCATAAATAATATGTAAGATACAAAAATCTACATAAAAAACATACACAATTTAAACAAAATACAATAAACATAAGCTGAAAATGTGAAATACACTGAGGTATTCAGCTGGAAATAACACGACATAGAAATAAAAGTTAAGATTCAAGTGAATCGTCAAGATACTCCTGAACTGAGTAATAGTCCCTATCAACAAGTAGCATTTTAACTGCTTTTTTGAATTTGTTAGGCACTATAATTTCTTTAATTCGGGCTGGTAAGTGGCTAAACAGTTCGATCTCGTTGAATATAACTGAATCCCTAACAAGGGAGCTCGAAGGAATAGGCAGATCTATGTTTTACTATTGTGGCTACGAGTATTATATGAAGAAGGGGGAGATGCACAAGAAAAAATTTTTTTTTTCAAGCAAAATTGATTCCAAGATAAACAGGGCAGCTACTGTTAAAATACCGTGAGCTATGAAAAGAGGCTTGCATGGATCCCTGGGAGCTGCTTTGCACATATATCGGACAGCCCTTTTTTGGAGCACAAAAATCATTTGAAATAAATCTCTAGAACAGACTCCCCAGAAGGCAATTCCATATTTAATATGGGGATCTATTAGAGCGAAATAAGCTGTTCTTGAATGGGAGTAGCCTAGTTCTCTAGAAATCACTCTTAGTGCTTAGCAACCTGAGGCAAGCTTCTTGCTTAAGTTAATTGTGTGATTTTTAAATTTCAGTTTATCATCAATGTTCAACCCTAGAAATTTATATTAATGAAATATATTACAAAAAAACTAAAATCATTGTATATTTTTAAAAACTAAAGTTTATTGAAAGCTTAGCGTTTACTATAAATTTGCAGCCTATATTAATTGCAAAACTATGGCTAACTATGACAAATCATATCTATTAATAACAATATGAATGCAGATATATTAGATAAACCTATATCACCATTCGAAATTGCCTTATTCGTTCACCATCAAACCGATAACGTTAAATGAAAGTATCAGAATTAGCAACAGCGCGTGAACAGTACGTTTATAGAAGAGTTTATTCAAACGGAACAACCCATTTATGTCGACACCAGCCGCAAATATCACAACGTAAAAATCATATATCCCACATTGACTCTAACCAGAATGTTGCATTAGAGGAGTCGGTGCC